CCGGATGATTCCAGTGTGCTACCAGGGCTGAGAACCACCAACTCAGTTCTAGGAGACCACTTTAGAGAATTACTTTCCTGTTACCAAGGCCAGATTCTTTGAGATAGGGAACAGACAGAGCTTCGGACCACCTCTGGTTTCCAGTGTACGTGTCCAACTGTGCAAACGGAATGTTAGTCGTATCCATCACAAAGTCCACTGTGTTAGGGTGACACTACACATCTAGTTTCACCTTTAGAATTGTAGCTTGAAAGCTAAAAGGATGCTCTGAATATGTATTTAAGATGGATACGAAGTCGGACTTCGTTCAGATAAATCCAATGAGTTTGAGTTTGAAGAGACTCAAAGTCATAGCACATGAGAAAGAATTAATATTAAGCCAGAAGATTGACAATGAGGGGTGGGGAGGTAAAAATAACGGTCATTGTCAAATATTGAAATGCTGCCAAAACAGAGGCAGTCAAACTAGTTTTTCATATCTTTAAAGGAATCAGGATTAAAGTATGAAGCTACAGGAAGATGGATTTTAGTTCTTTATAAGGAAGATCTTTTAAAGATTCCCTTTATTTTTTTTAAAGATTTTATTCATTTATTTGACAGAAAGAGAGAGCAAGAGAGGGAACACAAGCAGGGGGAGTGGGAGAGGGAGAAGCAGGCTTCCAGGGAGCCCGATGTGGGGCTCGAATCCAGGATCCTGGGATCATGACCTGAGTCGAAAGCAGCTGCTTCACAACTGAGCCACCCAGGCGCCCCTATAAGGAAAATCTTTACAATAAACTTTTTCTAAGCATTGTGCTAGAAGCTGGAGATAATAAATATAATACCTATGATGCAGTTTAGTGGTTCTCAAATTTCGGCAAACATCACAACAACCTGGAGGGCTTGTTAAGATGCAGGTTTTGGGCCCTGCCCCCAGGGTTTTGATTCAAAATGTCTGGGGTCGGGCCCAAGAATGTGCATTTCTAAACACATTCCCAAGTGTTGCTGATACTGCTGGTCCAAAGACCACACTTTGTGAACCACTGTATAATCTAAAATGCTATCAGCTCCATGAAAGGACACCTAAATCAGATTAGGAGGAAAGGATTAATCTGAAAGACTTCTCAAAAGAGTTTTGGGGATGAGCTGAATTTCAAAGAATGAGGACTTTTCAAAAGACAACCATAGGTCCAACATGGAGTCTCTTGTGTCAGGCCAAATCACCGAACTGGGACTTAATACCTAACCTAATGCAGTTTCAGCCTCCATCAGAGAAGTAGTCATAATCAGTCAGTCGGGAGTTTCTGGTGAGCATCAGTGTAGTAATCTGTCACATGGGCCCTCTCTACCCCCACTCCCCAACAGAAGATATGGTAGTCAGCTTGAGACCTCCTGATCTTCCTCCTAAGGGAAACTGCTTGACCTTCTCTGAAATGCTCCTTTCTTTTCTTTTGCTAATAACATCATTGCCCCCACCCTCCTTCCTATAGAAAAATTTCCATTTTGTACAGGTCCTCAGAGCTTCCCTCTAACTTGGCGAGATAGGATGCTGTCCTCATGAATCATTTAATAAGCCAATCAGATCTTCACATTTACTCAGTTGAATTTTTGTTCTCTAATGGGAGGCAATGTGGATGAGGGCATGGCAGCTCAAACACAGAGTTCGGTATACTGAGAGATAACAATATATATGGAGGAACAAAGGCACGAAACAACATTCACTCAAGTCATTTATTGAATGCTTGCCATATGCAGGGGGTTCTTCTAGTTGTTGGGTACAAAGAGATGAAGGAAACAAAGCTTCTGGCCTCACAGAACTCATAAGCAAATATAATACATATTGCCAAGTCCCATAAGGGAGTAGGACAAGCTGTTGTGAGAGAACAAGGGGCCTCTGAAGAGGTAGCATTTAAACTGGCATCTTGAGAATGAGAGAGCTAGAAGAGCATTCCAGAAAAGGCTTAGGAAACAAACATCTGTGTCTGAAGCAATGACTTAGGGTGTGTGTGGAAAGAGATGAGTTTAGAAAGGCAAATGGGCAGATTCCATAGGACAATGTAGGTTCTTTTTTATTTTTTTTTTGTTTGTTTGTTTTTTCATAGGACAATGTGTTGAACAGACTGGCTCTTTAGATAATTCATTCTAGTAATTTGCAAGATTAAACTAGCTTGACAAGACTAAAGACTAGTGAAGAAATCCAGGTGAAAATGGAGGAGAGCTTGAGTAAATACATCACAATGGGAACAGAGGAGATAATTGCATAGAGGAAGGGAGGGGTCAGAAAGAATATAGGATGGTTTACAGAATTTTGGCTTGGGCATGGAGCTATTCTTTTGGAGGGAATAAAGAAACAGAAACTGATTTGGGGGTGGGAAGAAAAGTTTGGCTTTTGACACAATGAGTTTAAAGTGATTGAAATAATACAAATAGAAACGCTTACCAGACAGTTAAGGAGCAAAAAAAAGGCAAGCATGGGCAGGTGATACTGATTTGGGAAAAATCCAAATAAAAGTAGTAATGGGTAACTGGAAGTGAACTAGGGCATCTGAAAAGGGTATACAGAAAAGAGCCTCTGATGAAACTACTTTAAGATGTTGATGATATAGGTGACTAGGGAGACTCAGAGCTCTCCTTAGCTTCCATTTCCTCAAGTAGGTGTTAGGAGGGCAGGCCTCTGCTGAGGGAGGAGGTGGTGGGTGGAGATTTGACCACAGTGAAAGTTGGAAGTAGTCTTTAAAAATGGAAGGGTTGCTGGACCACTGGGGCTTTGAGAGCCCACCTACGTGAGTCCATTTGTGGTGCTACCAATCAGTGGTATGTACTCGGTAGTATTCAGCAGCCCATGAGGGCAAAGTCAGATGGCTGAAACGATCCAGAAATCGGTTCTATAGGGCCAGACTGATGGAGAAACACCATGAGAAGATAGGCCACACAGCCTAGGCTAAATGGAGGAGATAGAGGGTGGGATACTCAAAATAGTCTGAATATTCCCTCATCGGAGTGAACTGAAGATTGGAAAGAGAAGAGCGACTGGGGGTTTCTCAAGGTCATAGAGTAAATATACCGAGAGGAAGAGATCAAAGGACAAGATGTTAAAAATCAGACTAGTATTGTAAGGACCTATTTAGAAACTGTCCCTGCTCCCCTTCCCCCAGGGGATTTACTTGGAGACAAGTCCCGGAAACCAGCTTCAGGTAACAAAGCCCAGATACAAAGGTGGGTCAGGCCAGGTGGAGACATCCAATCAGTGGGGGCATGCATACTGTCTCCCTGGTTACCAAGGAGTATGGGCCCCGCCCTTTGGGCGCCAATCCCAATCAAGGTGTAAAAGGCTGGTTCAAATGTCTACTAGGGTAAATTGTAACTCATTTGGTCACCTAGCATCACTGTGGAGTTTCCTGTGTGTGTTACAATCTCATTGGCCACCTGTGCGTGGCGAGGCCCGACCTCATGGCCTTTGCCCTTAAAAGCTAGTCTGTGAAACAGAGAAGGGTCGCCCTCTCTTGTAAGAGGTGCGGCCCCGAACGTTCGGTTAGATTCTTGATGCTTGGCGCGAAATAAAGCTTTGCTTGACCTTTGCTTTGTATCAGTCTCGCTCCTTTAATCACGGACCCATTATTGGGGCGTAACAGTATAACTAAGATCCTAGACATTAACACTTCAGAAGTAAGGCTTTTAAAATTGTTTTATTTATTTTTAGAGAGAGGGAGAAAGAGGGAAGGGGGTGGAGGTGGAGGGGGAATGGGAGAGAATCTTAAGCAGGCTCCACAGCCAGCATGTTGCCCAATGTAGGATTTGATCTCAGAAAACTGAGATCATGACCTGAAGGGAAATGAAGAGTCAGATGTTTAACTGATTGGGCTACTCAGGCGCCCCCCCAAAATAAATTTTTGAGAGTCCAAGCTATGGCCTTAGAATTCATTTGCTAAATGGAGTGAAAATGATTATTGGAGGTGGAGGTCCAGAAACGGTGAAGTCATCCATGATCAATGATACTGCCCAGAATAATGGTAGGGATGAAGGCAGAGAGGCACTTGAACCATCGAAGTCCTCCATAAATAAAAGAATAACCAGTGATGACAGTAATGAGGATAGATGGTGGTACAGCCGAATATCAGAGGCCTCAATGTGAGGCAGTGGCGATCAGTAACAACGTAAGCACAACAGCCCTTATAATCTACCAGTTCACACCCTGTAGTAGTAAAGTGAGAAAATGAGCACCCTCAACTTGAAATAGCCCTAAGGTAATGTAGCTGAGAGCCAAGTTCCACTTAATGAAAAAGTAGGGAAGTTCATAAAAGAATAGGGAAACCAGTCTCTATTTTATATATATAATCTCTGCGCATATATATATATATGTATATATATATACATATATATATATGTATATATATATATATATGTATATATATATATGGTCTCTGCACCCAACATAGGGCTTGAACTCACAACCCCAAGAGAGCCACATGCTCTACCAACTGAGCCAGCCAGGTGTCTCTCTATAATACAAGAAATTGGAAGAAAGGGCCGCAATGGGAACATGAATTGGGGATAGTAGGTAACAGCAATGGAATACAAGGAGAGAGGACTGATGACTGGATAGGCTTCTATCATTTATTCTTTCCTTATTCTTTTCTCTTATTGTAAGTAGGCTCCACACCCAACATGGGGCTTGAACTTAAAACCCTGAGATCAATACTTGAGCTGAGATCGAGAGTCAGACACTTAACCAACAGAACCACCCCAGCACCCACCCCCTCCAGACACCAATTTTAGATGGCAGTAATGAATTACAAGGATGAGAAGCCAAGTGTGTTAAACCAGCCTTAATGTTCCAACTGGAACTCTGATGTGTCTATGACAAAATAAATAGAAGCACTGAGCCCTGATCAAGACGAGGTGTGCTTGAACGGTTGTTCTGGGTTCCAAACAGTATTAGTGATAACCATCTTGTGTCTCAACAAAGCTTAGCCCCCAACTCAAAGAGGATGGCAAGCTTAGGCCAGAAAGAAGACTAAAGTAGCGTACCAAGACTGAAGACCAGTGAGTGACCTACTGGTTTCAGCACAGTGCAGCCTAGTAGGGAGAGGGAAGAGGCCTTTGCTTTGAGTGGTGGAAAGATATTACTAAGACCAAATACCAATTCAGGAGGAGGAGTGGCACACTTAGGTCCGTCAAAACGTATCTGATACTCTCACCTTCCCTCCGCAGAGCTGGGCACTGGATAGAACAGCAAGGTGCCAGTCTTGGTGCTTACATAAAAGTGCCTGATAAGCTCTGCAAAATTCAGACCCAAGTGAAGACTACGGGTAAGCTCTAATATGTAAGTGACTAAGTATGTAATATTTACATTTTCTAAAAGAATACTCAACTGTAGTCTGCATATTCCCTCATCAGAAGTACTGAATAGATCTATCATTAAATAGGGATTTGGACATGTCCAAAGTCCATCTGCCTCTTGAAATTCTGTAAAAGTTTTAGTAGGAAACATCCTTAAAAACCATCATCTGTCTCACCCTCTCTTAAGGGGAGGAGCTATAACTTAAATGTCTTTCTGTTCACACAAACTAGCCCGCACATGGTAGAAAACCCAGTCTCAAAAAAAAACTAATATAAGGGTGCCTGGGTGGCTCAGTTGGTTGGCCCACTGCCTTTGGCTCAGGTCATGACCCTGAAGTCCCAGGGTCCTGCATCAGGCTCCCTGCTCAGCAGGGAGTCTGCTTCTCCTTCTGACCCTCCCCCCTCTGATGCTTTCTCAATCTCTCTCAAATAAAATCTTTTTTAAAAATTTTTTAAAAAGATTTTATTTATTTGACAGAGATCACAAGTAGGCAGAGAGGCAGGCAGAGAGAGAGGAGGAAGCAGGCTCCCCACTGAGCAGAGAGCCTGATGCGGGGCTCGATCCCAGGACGCTGGGATCATGACCTGAGCCGAAGGCAGAGGCTTCAACCCACTGAGCCACCCAGGCGCCCCTCAAGTAAAATCTTTTTTAAAAAGCTAATATAAGGTCATATACAGAGCTAAAACCCATTATTTATTTGACTCCTAAATCTTTGTTCTTTACTTTATGTAATCCTAAAGTCCTCATCTTTTTGAAGTTTTTGTTCATTTGTTTTTGTAAACTACAAACAATTCTGACTTCATATTCTGGGGAACCCACCAGGGTTCCTTAATACAAGGTTTACGAGCTGGATCCATTAAGCCATTTTCTAGACTTCCTGTGGTGCCTTCTTTCCCTTAATAAGATATTCAACCTAGCTCCAAAGACAAGGTTAGGAAAAATCTTTGGTAAAGAAATTTCATGGAACTTTACTATATGGAAATGTGAATTAAATCTTTCTTCCTACTAAAAGTAGTGCAGAAATATATTTCAAAGAACAAGTAAAAAATAAATTCCAAAATCATTCTAAATTCATTCATATATTTTTTTTCTGTGTTCTCTTTTCTCTCCTTGTATCAAGTGCTGACTTCCCAATTAATGGCTAATGGCCAAGATTCAGGCTCTTCAACTTATTCATATCAACCACAACGCTAAGGTCCCATGAAATATTTGCTACACCGGGAGGATCCCACATAATTCTTAAACAAAATCTGTCACTGTATGGAATTTCAGGGGTCCTCTTTTGTTGGTAAGAAAAATATTTTCCAATTTAAGAGATAACCAGATTTTTCCCCTCCTTCCCACCAATTTTCCTCACCAATACATACATATACACAGTCACATACTTCGTATTTGAGGCCAATTTCACAGAAAGCAGAAACATTTTCAGCAACGCCTGTATGACCTGGTAACGTCAGCAATGAGTAAAAAATGCAATCTCTAAAGTCAACTGCAGTTTGAACTAGTTTAGAGCATTAGGAGACCAAAATATAGTACTGCCTCATTTTCCTTCTATTACTGGTTTGCTGCAAGGAAAAAAATGCTCAAGAATGACAGGCCGGGAAATGTCCGTTGGTCATCGCTGGATTCTTGCTGAAAACAGAGGAGAACTGAAATCTTCTGGAATCACTTCTTCCACTTCACACTTTCTGAAAACACTGTTCTCAGGAATAGGGTAAACACACCACTGATCAAATTATTTGAGGCCAGTATTTTATTTTATAGAGAGCAATTGCAATATTAGAAACTGCTTTGGCACAGGTTGAAAGTGGCTCTCGGATACTTGCCAGTTTTCCCCAGGTTCAATACTCATGACCAAAATAGACCTTTACTTGGTTACCATTTAGAGTTGCCACCAATGTAAATGACAGAGTAGGGGGGAACCTGAGCACACACACAAAACTTTTTATTTTTTCAGATGTAATGCAAATAACCGTATCTAATATTCTTTCAGAAAACAAAAGAAATGGAAAACATGCTCAAAAAAACAAGAAATAAAGTTATACTTTTCATAAGGCACCACCAAAAACCCTGGTAAATTAGAGTCCGTATTATATTTAAGTGTCTCACTAACAGTTAAATAAATATGTAAGAGGATAATCAATAGAGGGTCTTGAGGTTTACAAAAGACATTCCTGTTCAGACATCTTGGAGTATTGCAAAAGTAAGAATAAGCAGGCTCCATCTGAACCCGGCATCTCCTTTCCCAGTGCACATTATTCATTGCATAGTGGTGACTGGATATGATCCAGGCCAAGAGAAGACTGCAATTCCAAAACATATTCACATCCCATTCTTTCCTTCTCATGTTTTGAGTATCACTTGGCACATCCATATCCAAAGAAGTAATGATATGATTTAATTTTAAAAAGGGGGGCAGGGTTCAAAAGGTAAAAGACAAATCAGTTGCCTGCTTTTTAAAATTTAGCTTAACAGACCTACTGCAAAAGCAACTTTCTACACGCATACGAAGCTAGTTCCATATGTAAACCTTTATTGAACCTAGTTTATGTGGGATTTAACAGCTTAATTCTTTCACAGTTCACAATTTCTAAATCCCACTCCAAATTGTCACTTTCTCCTTTAAAAAGTAGATAGTCCCATCGTTTGAAAGAAGGGGTTTCTCAATTTCTCCTTTCATCTTCCCATTTTAAGTACTGGCTGATAGTCTCACAAATGTACTACAGAATTAAAATATTGACAAGCAGGGAGTTTCTTTTATGTGCACTGAAACTGTATCCAGAATCTTAAAATTAAGAAAAGCAAATAAACGGACTTTTTTTTGGACACCAAAGACAAAAGCAGAGAAGAACAGAAGTGAAGCACAGGTAAAATTATTCTAATCTTACAGGTCTGCTAGCCTTTGCTAAGATTTTGATTATTAAATAAGTAGATGGCAGGCAATAAGATTTAATGCTCATCTTCTCAATTATTCAAAGTATGACATACAGTAATTTGTAATTTTATTGAGGCACAAATTTGAATCATGCAGTGCAAAGGTGGTTTGCAGCAACTCAGGAAGGGAGCCTTAGCATCTAAATCTCAACGTGGCTTTGTTGCAGTAACTATCAGTAAGTAAAATAAACATTTGTGGGAAGAAAATGTCCCTTCTTCTGCCAACAAGAAAGCAAACTACTAATGCTATAGTTGTAAACTTGGGGATTTGCATAGCTCCAATGACCTACCCCTTTTGAGAATGTTAAAGACTTACATAGCATTTTTTTCATTTTTCTCTCTATAACCTTCCCCAACATAGTTATAATGAAGGTAGTAAGAAATACCTTTGATAGAATTAACATAGAAGTTAAAAGAGCAATGGTGAAAATTTGCAACTTTGGAGAGAAGGGTAAAGGAACATTTTAAATCAAGTTTTAATATAAAATGTTATAACATTGAAGAATGGAGTAAGTTGTAAGTAAGTAATTTCCTCTAACTGAAAACAGTGTTTTATATTATATCAGGACATCAGCATGCCTTTAAATACATGAGTCTGAGTTCATTAATTCCAAAATTACAGACTTGTGTATGTTCATTTTTCTTCCTCCCTCCCTCTCTCTCCCTTTTTAAATTGTTTTTAAATTAATTTCTCTTATCTCTTCTTCTCAGCCTTGGTCAGGAGTCAGACCAAATCCTTTGTGACTTAAAAACAAATACAGAAACGCTCATAGTATCAACTAAATGATATATTTAAGTTTCAAAATACCAGAAGGTAAACAGGGAGCTACTCATGGGGGAAGACTGCCTAGCATCTCTCTCTCACATCTCCAGCAGGTGAATACCATATTAAGGACATAAATTATTCCCTAAATAGCCACCTATAACCATCCACCATACTCCAGAAGCAGAGCACCTTAGCCATCTTTCTCAGCATCTTCATGCCCCTCCACTGATGGCTGAGTAAAGCTAACAGGTGACTAGGAAGAAAAATTAAGTATTTTTAAATGTAGTCTACCCAGGCAGCCATCACTTAAAACTGCAATTTTTTTACTCACAAGTATTTGAAGATCTTTACAGAGAGGATGAAAAGGCAAACAATATTGTGCTTTCTTTTATAACCAGATGAAATTATTAACTAAGTAATATCTTCATACAGATTGGCAAAATGAAAACTTACGAAATTGGTTAACAGTTACTTTGCAGTATCCACTGAAATCTTAAATCATATACACACTTAAGATGAGATCATGCACAGTGACACTTATGAACCTCTTAATAGGTCAAAATACTAAAAATGTTATATAAGATTAAGGGAAGAATGACTAAAAATTAGGTAGTATGAACCACAGAGAATGCATTTACAGAAACTGGGTTTTACAGGAAAGCTTTTGCTTTTTTGTAGTAAGATGCCTTTTGAGTTAAATCTCATACCCACTCAAACTGTAACTGGACAGTACATTTCACTTCTAGTTACTAGAAGACATTTCTTTAAAACAGATTAGGGCCAAAAGGGAAAAGCTGTTCTCTAGGCCCACCTTGCTCCTCCCTTTTAAAAAGAAAATCAATGAATTAAGTCAAACCACAGATTTTTAACCAAAATAAAGGGACACAGAATAGTGAAGACCAAACACTTCTTTCAGGGTTTTTTTTTTTTTTTTTTTTTTTTTTTTTTTTGTCCTTTAAAAAAAGATGAGTCCCCTTCTAATGAACATTTCCATACAGCTTACCTAACACCTTAACAAGAATAGAGAACACAACAGGAGGAAAGAGGACACAGCACCATAGTTTCAAACATTCACATACAAAAACAAAATAAAACAGCCACCACAGAAATAGTAGGACCAAGTCTCCCAACAGATAGGGACAAGTTCTAACACACAAAGGAAATGTAATTATCTATTTGAACAAAACAACATGGAAAATCTGGTCAGGCTAGGACGGATAAGGAAGTGCTAACTCCTTGTACTACAAGGAAGGAATGGGATTTCTTTATTGAAAAGCAAAAAAAGAGAAAGCAAGCCCCCAAATGGATTTTTGATGCTGAAACTCTGTCATATGCTGCTGGTAACAGTAAATATATATATTTATATATTCATATATGTGTATTAAAAAAGGAAAAATAATCTATTTATAGAACAGTCAGTAGTCAGAGACATTTAGAAAAAAGTAAAAACAAGTCCTTTTTTCTTTTTTTAAAAATGGATTTACTAAAACAACTTTATCACCCAGAGGTGCTACAACCCCACATTCTCTGATGAAGCCATGGTGTTATTCAACAGCATCTGCTGTGGGCCGCAATCAGAAATTGCCAGTGTTGGAAATAGCAGACATTGGGGTCAGGGCTGCAAGGCAAAAAGCTGTTATTTGCTGGTCTTGCTCATGGCCATGCCTGAAGCCTGGTGGTATCTGGTATACTTGTGAATGAAGGTTTCCCCGAAAAGCATGCATCACTGTGTCTCAGTAAAACATTCTGACTTGTCTTCTCTTCTTTAGCAGGAGCCTGGATCCATGTACCTGCTCACCTCTAAATAGCAGACCCAAGATAGCAAGACTTCTCAAAGCCAAAAAAGGGCTCCTTGACTTGAAATGAGAAAAGCTCTTCTTTGCAGAATCCAATCTAGTCAGATTTCTGAACTAGAGGACATACTTCTCTCCTTGGGAAGATAAGGGGATCTGCCTCTCACTTAGGGTTTTCTTCTTGGTACAAACACACAAGTAGCTTGGATCTAGACTCTGGCTACTATCCCATGATTAACAGGAGTAATTCTGGCCCTGTTGCTCCCATCGTTGTATCTGTAGGGCATTATATGACAGGTAACAGCAGAAGGGGAGTGGTACTCTCACTCCTCTCCAACTGTCCTAAGGAGAGCCAAGTCATCGGCACCTCCAGATGGTGCTGCCGCTAGGTTGTACTCCACTAATACCAACTGGCCATGAGCCACATCCTACACGCCCTGCTAGCATCCCAGTGTATTAATGCCAACCAGCATTCCAGAGCTCAATCACATGTCTGGCTGTAAAGTAACAAACCATACTCAGAGGAGACAAATTGAAATATTGGCTGCTGTACCAAAGACACCCTCTGCATAGATGTGTTGAAGAGAATGCAGATCACACAGTCCATGCAAAGAGGAAGTCAGCTAAGAGGACTTCCTCTGAAGGCCATTCGTCTTTGGAAGCAACATTCTGAGTGGATCTAAACCACTCTACTTGATGACTAAGGTCTCAACGTGGTCCATTTCTCCCCATGTCCCAAACTAACCCAGCAACTGCTAACTGGTCTCCTTAAGATCCTCCATTGGTAGTTTGTAGCTCATTATGTAGGAAGGAGGTGGTGCTTGACCTGGGCTATCTGGCCCTTGCTTCTTTGCACAGTTTATACAGATGTAATCTTCATTTTCAGCCATTTCTGGAGATACACCCACACAAACTTGATGAAACCACTCATCACAGCCACCATCACATTGTACCCAGTCTACCTGTAGGAGACAAGATTGGGGAATGTTTAGGTTACATAAACATTAAGCCTAGGGGAAAAAAAAAAACAACAACAACAAACAAAAAACAAAGAGCTTTCTTGGCTTAAATGATAGCAAATAATTGGGATGTCCAGAGACAGACAATGACTTCTTACGGGGCTACTTTTTAAAGATAGAAATTGGGAAGTTAATACCCCCAAATTCTATTTTACCATAATATGTCCACAAAATTGGGCCTCTTAGGTACTCCATTACCTCATAATTACCCGGGGCTCCTTTTGAGACAGAAACATTATTTGAGAAAAACTTGACAAAAAAGGAACTTCTAATAGAGCAGCCAAGTAGTTTTAGCTAATATTAACAATTTCTAGGCTCTAAGACAATGCAATTATCGATCAAGAAAGGAAGAATACAACAATGTGAAGGCAATCCTGTGTATTAGCTTTATTTCAAAGAGATAAGCCAAAGTACTAAGAGCATTAAATACCTTTTTAGAAAAGCAGTCACATAGGCCACTTTTAAAACTAATATTTTTTATTCTTCTCTTCTTCCGTTACAAATACAACTCCCTATAAAAAGTTAGCAAATATCAGAGGTCAAATCTTACAAATTATCCAATTAAAACAGTCAA